TTCGGGTGGGGGGAAGGGGGGATGCTGGGGGTGTGGGTGCACTGGGGAGGGGGTGGCTTGGACTTACGTTGGCCTGGCCGTAGATGCGGTAGTTCTTCTCGCGCTCGTTGATGGTCACCTCGTCGAACCTCCTCACCGTGTCATCATTCGCGTAGTTCCTGTGACAATCCTCGAGCCAGGTCTTAAAAGCGGCGCCTTGGCAGGTACCAGGGAGTCGGGTGTTGAGGGTAGTTATTAATATGCTGATCAAGTCGGGCACGGTCAAATGCGTCTTCCCCAGCTTCTGACCGGCCGCGACGAAGTCGTACTCCAAGGAGGCAACATTCAGGGTGACGGCAAGAAGCACGCGGCGGATGGCCGTCTTGGCCGAGGCGACACCGGCCTGCCGACGGAGCTCGATGGTCTTGAGCCTCTCGTAGGGGTTGAAACTGGTTGACCTGTACCTGGGATTGGCATTGGGGTCGGCCTCTGCCACCGTCATGGCCTTGGCGAACTCGACGGCCTTCCCTGACCGTCCCGCGAGGGCGATTCTGTTCCACACGGGCGCCCAGCCGGCCTCGCCCACGTTCCAATACTCGCCCGTCCCAAGAAAGCGCCAGTTGGCCATCGCATACCTGTTCTCCCTGCGCTCATACGGCAGGAGTTGTCTCAAGGGGCTTTCAAAGAAATAGGCGCCCCTGGCGACCTGCATCAGTTGCTCCAGGGTGTACGCGGCCTTCCTGCCCGGGCCAACCGAGACGTGCACGTGGGTGGCGCAGAAATCGTTGGTCCAGAGGTTGAAAGTGTCCGTGACGGACTTGAAGACCTGTTCGATTGCCGTCTGCCAGTTGCTGCTTATGGACACCGGTGGCGAGATGATCTCGATGCCCCCTATGTCTTCCGTTAGCCAAGTCCTCCCGGTGGCAAACTACCTAGATACATAGTGGTACCAGGCGTCAAGAATGCACTTACACCATTCGCGAGGTTTGGGCGGCAACGTCAGCTTGTATTCCTTCAAGCTTGCGTCGGCCGTGCATTTCCAGCCATGCCCGTCGCCAAAGGTCTGGTCAAGGATCGCCTCGATGGCTTGGCCAACGTATTTGCGCTGTTTATCCTTCTTGTCCAGGTTGCCTTCGGAATTGGGGAGGTCAAACTGCCACTTCTCGAAGAACTTGGACACTCTCTTCCGGTTCTTTATCCTGTCCTTGACTGTTTTTTTGACGCTATCCCTAAGCTTGACGAAGATTTCGATCTCAATGCCAAACCACGGGTTCGCGGCGTACCCGGAGGCGGCCGTGGACGTCGAAGCAGAAGCCATAGGTTCCGGGAGGGAGGCGACAGAAGGTATGTCTAAGGGATGACTGGCAAGGGACGGGAAGTTGTGAACTGCGAACCAATGCGCAAGGAGGTGTGGACGGTAGACAAGTAGGTACGGTTTATCTGCTAGTAAGAACGGAACAGCCTACAACAACCGGTGTCGAGGCGTACAGATGGAATGACGAACGGGGAATTGTATGAATACCCTAGCTATCTACAACTCGCGGCGAGGAAACGCGTCTTTATACGAGGAGCTTGCACGTTGTTGGGTCCCGTTTTCCCGAAGCAGCGTAGGCAGGTAGCAGCCACAGCCAAGTAGTGGCACTAGGTCTACTGTAGTGGCCGCCGCTGTTCCTCAGACGTTGTGATCATACCTCAATGCCTCATTCTCGACGAAGGAGGATCGGACCGTCCACTACAGCTTATGGTGGAGTAGTGAGAAGGCCGACCTTTGGATCGTGAGATTGGTTGGTCATGTGCTCCTTCACTCCTCCATATTCAAGATCCCGGGGATTTGGGCCAACTAAGGCAAGACCGGAGGCTGCGACCAACGTGTTGAACTATCTTCTGACTAGGCAAGGTAGGTAGGTAGTCTAAACGTCCGCCGTCCTTGCTCGCCGCTATAGCCACCGCCAAATCCGCGCCTAGTCCGTCAGATTGGATCCTAACAGGCCGCCCACTTTGCATTATCATAAAGTGTTTGAAACGGGCACGAACCCACTGTTCGGACTATGTCAAACGGTAAGCCGATCCTTCATCAAGGCTACGCCAGCTTGCCAAGGGGTGCCTTTCCCCATACATGACCCTAACCCTGCTAGCATCCGTACAATAATCTTCCCGGTCGTTGAAGTTATGGTTGGGTAAACGATGAGAGCTGAAAATGGTAGAAACACGCAGTGTAGTGCCAGCGGTTTGAAAAAGGGGTAATAGATAAGGGGTAATGTGTAAGGGTTAGGGTTGTATATGAGATCCTCTCCCAACAACGTGCCCCTGACTGGGAGGCACAGCTTGTAGCCTTTGCAAGGGCGGGAACCTCCGGGGTGAGCAAAAACCTCACTGACTACCGTAAATTTGGAACATTGGAATGGGAAGCATAGCCAGCGCCAAGATCCAACGTTGGACAGTTCCTAATAGGAATAGGATCATCAGATCATGTCATGGACCTATGGTGCGGGGTGGCTTAAGCGATCCCTCGTTTCACACCTTGGCCTTGCTGTGCCGCCATGGGAACATATGTGGGGAGTCTGATATCTGGACTACTACGGGGTTGTGAAATTGGTTAGCAGGATTTCCTTCACAGGTCAGCGTCGCCTTGGCCCTAGTCCTTTCCACCAACCGGCCTCTTGGTCATCGTGCCGCGTGGTATAAGAGGGTGAGAAGCCTCCGAGTATCAAGTGTCCCAGACTATTCTCGAGATCACGAGTCTGAGCTTTAACTGAACCGTATCTGAATTGTCTTAGAAGTTTTACAGCCAAGACGCTACGCTTTCTTATTCGTTTAGTTTCCCTTCATCACCAACCTAATCTCGATCAAGTTTTTGCAAGCAATCATGTCTAGCGGAACCAAGAGAACTACGGCGACCAAACATGCGGCGGCGCCCGCGGCCTCAACGGGTCCGACACGCACCACAGCTTCCACGAACACCCCGGCGCGCACCACAGCTTCCACGAACACCCCGGCGCGCACCACTGCTTCTACGAACACCCCGGCGCGCACCACTGCTTCCACCTCGAGCGCCTCGGCACGCGCATCTACCGCCACGAACACTTCGGCACAAACATCCAATTCAACAAACGCTCCGGCACGCACCTCGGCGGCGGCCGCTTCGGCGAACGCTTCCGATTCGGGCCCCCCCAGAACCGTTAACATGTCCGGTCCTGACCCAGACGCAGCAGACGAGGCGAGGAAGGAGGTGCTCATGATGGAGCACTGGCTGAAGGAGCTGCCGTCCGCCGACAGGAAGTACAACTACCTCATCGCCTTCGACCCGGCCACGGCGTCGGTCAAGCCGCTCATCGAGAAGGCTCTCAACACCACCCTGAAGCTGAGCAGCGCCACGCGGATACCCGGCATGTGGGAGCCCGACACGGAGCACGACACGCTCGGCACGGTGCAGGTCTGCGCCATGGAGGGCAGCGACATGGACGCGCTCGAGGACAAGGGCTTCCACTTCAAGCGCATCCTGATCGAGGTCGGCCCCAAGGAGCGCGTCGCCCACATGCCCGAGGTGCCCGCCGCCAAGAAGGCCGCTTCCACCACTCCGGCCGCCGCCGCCGCCGCCACCAGCACCCCTGCTCCTACAAAGGCGACTCCTGGAAAGGCGGCTCCCGCAAAGACTACCGCCAACTCCACCACCAACAGCACCGCCAGCAACAACAGCAACAATGCTACGAAGGCGGCTGTGACAAAGAGCACCGCGTCTACGAGCGGCGGAGCTGCCAAGAAGACGAACGGCACTGCCACGGGGAACGCTACGAGAAATAATGGTACTGGTACTGGTAATGGTAATGGTAATGGTACCGGAAACGGGACGCGGTAAGCGGCCAGATGGAGATAGTGGTGGTTTAGGGGTTCAGGGGTTCAGGGGCTGAGATGCAGCCGTTGCTTCATGATTATACACGGAGTTTGGGTTGAATTGCTAAGTAGCTAAATAAAATAACCAAGCCGGTTTTGGAATCAGCCTATGGGTTGCAGGGCCGTGAAGACCCTCTTCTTGCCAGTTCTGAAGGATTATGAATGCAGTTGGTGAAGTTGAAATCAACAACTCGCAGCTTTAGGTTTTCTTTTCCAAAAAGTCGGATGCGAGAACGCTGCAAAGTGGGACTACGACTGGCTCTTTTTTATTGGTATCTCCCTTAGGTACCTAATAATAACCGAATCACTTGTTCACTTACATGTTCTCCTTGTTCTCTTACCCGACTTGGCTTCCCACCAAATCATTGATTCCTAGGCATGAGCTGCGCCCTTCTTTCGGACTCGTGTTATGGTGGATCTGTGGTTTCACCACGGCGACTTGCCGAGACTATAGTGCTTACTTGCATCGCGGTGGATTGCCTGCCTAGTTTATCCACCGACCCCCAAGACAAAGTAGCGCTTACCTAGCCTAGGTAAGTACCTAGGCAGTAAAACTTCATCTCCAGATAAAAGTACATCTCTCCCTGCATGTGCCCAGACTGCAAACCAGCGTGCTTCGAAAAAGAGGGGCAAGATTGGGCTCTTGGAATAGTATCAACCTGTGCTCGGAATCGAGAGCGGCCCTTGTGACGGTGGGGATGTTTCGAATTGTTTTCAATCAGGTCGCAGGTTCGCTTCGTGCCTGCCTGCTTGAGATGGTGATAGTTTCATTCTGTGCTGTAACCGCGGCTGCCTGTTGGCCCGGTGTGCAGGTTCATGTCCAGTCCCTAGGTGCCTTAGGTAGACTAGAATTTTCATGTTGTTAGCAATTGTTTGATTGAGGGTTTCTTCTTGCTCCGGCCACGGCCGTTTTCAAAACCGCAGTTCGGGACGTGACTTGATTAATAGCAACGCTGGTCTGCGGGGTCCCAGCAATAACCCAAAATTCACTGCTCACGCCTTGAACGGATTTATCCCGCCTTAAGCAAGAAGAGCTCCAAGCTTTAAGCGAGTAAGCGGGAGGTTAACCGTCCGTTGCCGGCTTAGAGTCCCTGTTGACTCGATATTGTCTTGTGTTGCTTTTCGCCCGTTCCTTCCTCTCAGCTCATACCCAACCGCTCATGCCTCACAGAGCAGTCGCTTCATGAATCATGGCTGGGAGGAAGGAATGACTGAGGCGAATAAGCCGCTCAAAATCATAAACTGAGGAAAAAGGGCCCGGTGCCGTGGGCGGATTTGTCCCGGGTTATGGATCTTTGCCTCAAGTCCGCGGCTCCGGTTGGATGTCAGTATGCACTTTGAACCGCCGCCGGTCGCGGCCCGTGTTGGTTCGTTGGAGCATCCCGACGGAGTGGCTGAGCTAGTTAACTCATGTCTCTGCTGCGGCCCACGCTGCCGGTACGGTGGTGACTTGTCAAGAGGGCAATGTTGTCGTCGATCAAGTGTCTTTTTTCGTCCATTCACACAAGCGAGCCCATCCCAGCCCGGTGATGTCCGTTTAAGGCTGGTGGCTTGATGACTCGAGTCTCGGCTCCGTGGGCCACGCGGCTCTCGGAGCTCGGTGCCAGGGCCGGAGAGAAATATGACCCGAACGATGCTGTGGGCGCGGGCTCTGAGTGGCCTGCCCTGCGAACCCCCTGTCTCGCCTCCATGCAGTCCCACCAGCCCGGAAACGGAAAAGACCAATTCAATGACAGAGGCGCGGCAGCCGAAGGACTTGGGTGCGGGCTCAATTCGGCCAATATCCAAACGAGCCCGAGAGAGAAAACGTCATTCCTCACGAAACTTGTTTCCCCTTCTCGAAAGAAGGTTGCGCTGTTTTTGTCGGAGGGCCTTGCCATCAGCCTCGTGGAGTCGCCGGGGAAGATTGATCGACACTGCCTCATCCACTTTCACAAAAAGGGGGGAGCGGGCGGGGGTGTCGGGATGCTTGGCATGTGTCTGTGGTGTGGATCAACACGACCCCGACGCTGTTGATGAGCTGTGTGTCAGATGTAAATGCTGGGACCTCCCCCTGCCATGTGCTTGCTTGTTTGTGTGCCAGCGTGCCACGCCGTCGGGAACCTCATCAGGACCAATAGCCTCAAGCACGGGGATAATCGACTAGTTATCTCCTGCAAAATCAAAAGAAGGGAGAAGGGCAAATACCCTAAACAAGGCAGCTTTGAGATGCAGGCCTTACCCAACACCGGGCCCATGCCCCCGGGCTACGGGGAACCCACCACAGCCCTACCGCTTCTCGCCTTTGACAACGGCGAAAACACCGAGTTTGACTACTCCACCTTCCTCCAGGACCAACAGGACATCGATTACCTTGCCGAGGACAGCTCGGGGTCGGGGGGCTTGCCCATCGCCACACCTTCGCCGTCGTCAACCTTCTCGGACCAGCCTTTCCAGCCACAACCACTCGCGCCGCGACAGCAGCAACAACTTTCCCCGGCTTCGGCTCGTCAACGTGGTTGCGGCACGGGTAGGGACAGTAGTGGGAGCCATGAGGACCGGCCAGTGTCCAAGCAGCGACTAGAACGGCGGGGGCATACCAAGAGCAGGAGGGGCTGCTTCAACTGCAAGCGGCGGAGGATTAAGGTGAGTCCGGATGGGTAGAATAGTGCAGGGCGAGAAACAGACTGATTAACTAAACTCTTCTCCCTGCATAGTGTCAAGAGACAAAACCCGCATGCGGGCACTGCGTGAAGCAAGGTCTCAAATGCGAGTACCCCACGCTGCCGACCATCGTGCATCAGGTATGTACATGCACACACGGCGTTCCACATGTGGCCCCTTTACGATGAGTGGGATATAGGTGTTGACAACCTCAACAACAAACAGCCACAACACCAAGTCCCCCTCTTCAGCCTGCAGGACATGCGCTTCTTCCAGCACTTTCTCCTCAACTGCTACCCGCACCACCCCATTGGATCCGAGAGTCTCTGGACGCACGAGATCCCGTGCCTGTCAGAGAAGGCATGTACAACCCAACGCAACTCAACTTAATCTAGCTTTGACTCGTAGTATCCACGGCTAACACCGCCGGCCTCAGTACGAATACCTAATGCACGCCATCCTGGGGTACTCGGCCTCCGAACTGATGGCCTCCTCCGACCCCTCCCTCGCCGAGGCCGCCATGTCGCACCGCTACAAAGCCGTCAAGGCCATCAAAAAGGCGCTCACTCCACCACCCACCTCCCCGGCCGCTCCCGTCGCCGGCAGCAGCAGCAACAACCTTCCCACCAACCTCCCCACCCCTCCCAACAACAGCAACAGCAGCAACAACGGCCGCTCCTTCGACGACACCATGTTCGAAGAAGGCAACGCGCTCATGGCGACCTGCTTCGCGCTCACCTACCAATCAGTACTCCTCGAGGACGGCATGGCCGAGTTCATGACCTTCATCCGCGGCATCATGATCGTGGCCATCCACATGTACTGCCGGGGCGCTAACCTGCTGTTCGGCCACCTTCTCGGCGACCGCCAGACCCAGATGCTGGAGCCGCACATGCGGGACCTGGATTTGATCGATGCGGGGCTGACGGCAAGGGCGGTGGCGGCGGTGGAGGGGTTGCGGGGGCTGGTGGATGGGGTGGAGGGCAGGGAGGTGGAGAGGAGGTATTGGGAGATGATTGGGGAGATGGCGAGGAATTTGGGGGTGAGTTCGTGGAAGGGTGAGTTTTTGTCTTTTTCTCTTCTTTTTTTCCCCTTACTTTCTCTGTCTCTCGAGGGATCTCTGCAGAATCAATAAGTTTGCTAACCACCACACTCCCCCGCCCCCTTACCAGCCTACTTCTCCCTCACAGAACACTACGGGTGGTGGATGATGCTGCCGCACGCCAAGTTCCAGCCGCTGGTGGACCCCAACAACCAGGTGGCGCTGGTGTTGAACGCGCACTGGGTCGCGCTCGAGCAGATCATGGCGCCCATCTGCGAGGCCGAGCAGCGCGTGTCGGCCGCCATGTCCAGCGGCCGCTCGTCGTCCAAGACGGGCGCCAGCCTCGGCAACATCCGCTGGCTGCGCTACATCAACGCTCAGGTCGACGCCGACCACCGCCCCTATAACGAGTGGCCCATGTGGGTCGAGGCGCAGCTCGCGAAGGATATGACTTGCTTTGGGAAGACTATGTGATGTGAACTTTGAAGGGGGGGTTGGTGGTAGTAGTGGTAATATGTTGTTGTTGGGTTTTGACCCTTCTCTTCTTTTCTATGTCGAATATTTAATGGACGAGGTGGTCTTTTAGCAAGATTGGTGGAGAATTTGATATAGACTCGGTTCTGGATAGAATGAATACGAGCGACGAAGTTCTCGTCTTCTTTTCATCCTTGATACTTCCAACCCTTGATATGGCAGGGACCATCCCCTCATTTCGTTCGCGTGTTGCCCGATGGGATAAGGTGATTCTGTCGGGCGTGTCCGAGTTCAGTGGATAGCGTTGCAGCCCTGTCAGAGCCAGAGAAAGTTCAAAGTGCCCCGCGGAGAGCCTGCAACGGACAACGGTGCAACACAACTACACAGCCCCACCTACCCACGTTCAAGCTGCGGCCTCTGCCGGGACCCACCACCGTATTTCGCATTCAAAGTTAAAGCGGGCCTTCGAGAACCGCCAAGGGTCCCGAGAAAGGCAGGCCAAGCCTGAACAGCGATCGTTGACTGGGGTGTTTTGGGGGTTGAGGGGGATTTTATTTGATGACGACAGGCCACCATTGTTCCTCGCCCCGTCCCTAACAGCCACGATGATGAAACCGAGCAAAGCGCAACACAGCCCGACTGCGCAGAGCGGGGCCGTATACTTCGCTTTGGGGATTGATTGGCGGCGTGGGAATTGAAGATTGGGCAGCACTTCAAGATCGACAACACCATGTGGCCGCCGATGCTTGTGTTGGGTTTGGGGTCTTGTCGATATAAAGCAGCGGAGGACCGAGCTGGTGTCTGGGATACTTTCATTAGATAATATAATAGTATCACTCACACCAACCTCTACCTTGTCTCTGCAAAACATCCCTCAACTTATCTCAACCCATACGCAATACACAACACCGTGTCTATTTGTACTCTCAACCCTACAATGAAGAGCTTCATCTCCCGCCACTCCACGGAGTCGGCTTCTCCCCCACGCTACACCCCCCAACAAGAAGTCGAGCTCGCCCGCCTCGACAGCAACTCCACGGCGCCCCCACCCTACGCCGACGAAGAAAACGCCCCGCCCACCTCGGGCACCTTCCGCCCCACGGTGCACTTCCAAATCCAAACCACCGGCAAACCCTGGCTCTCCCTGCCGCTCCCGCAAAGACCCGAACCCATCCCCGTCTTCGCCCTCCAGCCCACCGACACCACCAACCTCACCACCACCCCGCAACTCACCTCCACCCGCCCCGAACGCTCCTCCGGCAGCTGCTACCTCACCCACCACACCAACAACAACACCACCGCCTCCACCACCACCTACCGCTTCGGGCCCAACCGGCCCCCCATCGTCCGCCTCTTCTCCCCGCACAATCCCCCACTGCCCGCCACCACCCGCGACCGCCTCCTCTTCTCCAAAGACACCACCACCAACAACAACAACGACGACGAAGATGCCGCCGCCGCCGGCGCCTGGGACACCTTCACCATCAATTCGCTCGGCCTGCTAACCCGCGCCGTGGGCTTCCGCTCGCGACTGGGCACCTTCCAGTGGCGGTACGCGTCGCGGCGGGAGCGGCACGCGGCGGCGGCCAGCGCGGCGCTGGCGGGGTGCGGGGTGCGGGAGGTGGCGAGTCTGCTGGTGCTGGAGCGGGTGGTGCGGGTGGCGTGCGATGGGACTTCTTCTTCTTCTTCTTCCTCCTCGAGGGCGGGGGGGAAAGAGGAGGAGGTGCGGACGGTGGTGGCGCAGTTTGTGCGGGGGGAGGGCACGCGCACGCCCGGGAGCGGGGCGAGCACGGCGGGGAATGGGGGGAGGTTGGTGATGGATTTGGGGGCGTGGGAGGGGGAGGGGGTGGATGGGAAGGGGGAGGGGGAGATGGCCGTGTTGATGGTGGTGACTACGTGTTTGGTGATGCTGAAGAGGGAGGTGGATCGGCGGCGGGCGCAGCAGATTGCGATTATGGCGGGGGCGGCAGGTGGTGGGAGCTGAGGGGTTTGTTTGGTTTGGAGGTGGGAGGGAGAGATTGTTAGGCGCAGGGGGTTATATTGTTCTGTTTATTTTGTTTTTGGCTTTACTCGTCGCTTTCTTGGTGTTGGTAGATCGGGTAGACATGAGTTGAGACCACAATGCGACCTAGTTGGTCCTGGACGCTATCTCTCGACACATGGTCGAAGAGAACCTTTTATCTACCAGCGGCCATGACAATTCAACTTGACCATAAGTTATTTGTGGCGCTAAATAAGGGCTGCCCTCTTCATATAACTATAATGAAACCCGTTGCCATCTTAGACCGTCAACTCGTATTCTGTCTGCTGCCTCGCTCGGTCTTATTCTGGGCGTCACTGCTTTTCCCCCATGAGAGCATAGTCAGGTGAATAGGGATGTTGGAGGCAGGGAGGTCTGGGCCAGATCGTCACCGTACAACACCGACAGATATCTGTGCTTCTGCCGTATTACTTCGTATATTTATCCCCAAAACTGGGACCTATCAATGTCTATACCCCCCCATACGATCCTGTGTGGATTCTTAACCCCGTCACAAATGCGTCGCGAGCAAAACACCGCCAGCCAGCTCGGCAGCTGCTTTATGTTGAGTAAGGCTGCGGCCATGGCAGCATTCTAGAGTCAAACCTAGCCCAGCCAAGGCAACGAAATAAAAGACAAGCCCGCCGCCCTCAGGAACCCGAAGCCCAACCGCTGAGCCGAGAAGATGCAAACCCCAGCTTGCCCACAAGCTGGCCCAAGTTTGGTCCTGTCTTCTCTCTGCCTGTATTCCCTGTCCCGCGTCATGTCGGTTGCTTGTCCCTAGGTATCAAAATTGCCGACCCCCACCCTCTTGTATATGCGCCATAAAAGAAAAATGATTTGATTGCCCCCGAATAACCCTCGTGATAACCGCCAACGCCAGTGTTGAAGAAACGACAACCCATGTTGAGTTCGTGCGCATTCGTATGGGGCGGGATCGAACCAGCGACCGTTCACGAGTTCCTGTCGACCGTCCTCTGGGGCTTGTAGTCAGGCATCTCGTCAAACCAGAATGTCTCTTCGTTGTATCGGTAGGCGTGGAACTCGATGCCATACGGCTTGGGCTCAATGGCATACAAGATGCCGAGCGGTAGGTCGAGATCCGCAATGTCGTCACGTGTGAGGTCCATGAAGTACGCCATCAGCACGCGGCAGACCGACCGGTGCCCGATGATGAGCACGTGGTCCGTGATACGCTCAATCTCGCGCACCATGTCTCGGAGCCGGCTGATGATCTGGAGATAGCCTTCACCGCCTACCCCGGGGTAGATGTACTGGAGCTTATCCTTGGCCCGTTTCGCATACTCCTCGGGGTATTGCTCGGCAATTTCTTCATATGTCATGCCCTCAAAATCGCCCGCGTTCAGCTCGTTCAGCATCTCCCAGGCCTTGACGTCGTAGTCCTCGTCCGCCTCAAAGTACTCCGCAGTCTCCACACTGCGTTTGAGCATCGAGGTCCAAATGCAAAAGTTTTTGTCGTCCAGCTCCTGGTTCAGCTCCGGATACGGCGGCGTGTTGTCGCCGGGCTTCGGCGGAAACGTGGAAGAGGCAATCCTGTTCTTCTGGTGAATGAGCCACTCCTTCCGTTTGTACGTGATGAAGTTGTACAGAGCCTGCCCATAGAAGTGGCCGCGCTCCGTCAGCTCCGAATTGCCGCCAAGCTTTTGTACTCTGTTATCCTCACTCTGGCCGTGGCGGGTGATCCAGATCTGCCTCGGCGAGAGGTTGAATGTGGAGAGGTATGAAACAATGCCGCCGCTCAAGAAACCTCTGAGGCGGTGTTGGACGATCTTCCTTCCCACATCAATCATCTACACGCCGTTAGTCACCCAATGTCCCTAGTGTGGATCGAGGTCGTGACAAACCTGAATGTACTGAAGGTCGTGGTCCTCCTCCCACTTCCCGAGCGGCTCGTAGGCGCTCTCGTACGCCTTCACTCTCTTCTTGAAATCTTCCAGGGCTTTGTGCGGATCCTGGTCCTTGTAATCGGGACCAAACAGCTTGAGCCGCATATTTGCCTCGAGGAGCTACACTATGTCAGCCGTGATCCAGAGTAAGGAAAGGATGGGCAGCGTCACGAACATTTTGGTCATGACAGACGCTTTCGATGAAGAGAATGCCCAACTTGGGCTCCCTCGCCTGGATATGGTCTACGAGAAGTTTTCGCCGGTGAATGGTGCTGTTAGTCGCATCCAGGATCCCCACGGCACCGCCCTGGTGGAGGAGATATGCGAGAAGCTCGTCGAGCGTGTCAAGCGCTACCTGCTCGCGGATCTTGGCCGCGGCTTCATTCTTGGGGTCGAAGAAGCTGGCCGACTGATCCATCTTCTCCTTAGATTTGGCCTTATTGAGGTCGAGTTTCGTCGGCTCGTCGTCCAGCACAATATCGGGTCCCTTTGCGCCCTTCGACAGGATCGTCGCCGCCTGGCTCGGCACGTCGTGCCTGTTGGTTGTAGAAGTTGGGGACATATCCGCAGGGTTGGCCACGCCAGCGGCAATGCGTCGGCGGTGACCCACATTGAAGATTTTAGTATTGTGTTGTTGCCAGGACAAATAACGATGGAGTTTCTTCGTGATGTAGGACTTGCCCCTGGCCGGGAGGCCGACCATGATGATGACCAACTTGGCGGCCACGTCCCTATCCGGGATGCGGCCATCAGGAGATGCCCTTGAGCGTGTCATTCCTGGTATGTTGAGCGTCGTCGCATGCGGACGGACTCTCGGTGTGTGGCTCCCCGAGTTTTGTCGTACCGGCGGACTGTGTGATTGTCAGCGACGGTGACACAGGCAAACGGGTCGTGCTACCATATGCGACAGCAACGCGCAGAGCGGCTAACTTACATCCGGGGCGAAGCCGGTGCCGTGGAGGAGATGCTGTGCGAGTAGGGCGAGTCATAATGAAGGCCGTTGGGAAGTCCATTGGGAGGGCCGGGCACGCCGGGGTCGGAAGTCTTCAATGTCTTCAGCGCATTCGTCAAGGCTGGAGGGGGTAAAGCAGTGGTGTGTAGATGTTGGGCGTCCGCATTGCGGTTATCGACGTCGGCTTGGATCGTGGGTGAAGAAGGTCCGGAAAACGCAGCACCCATCCGATGGCTCATAGCAAGTTTCCGCAGTGATTGGTCTTGTGGCTGCGGCGCGACAGCAACAGCGTCTTCTTCGAAATGTAGATAGTCAGCCGTGGTGCCGGTGATGGAAGGAGAGATGTAAAAATGTAAGATGATAAAGAATTGAGACCTTTGGCTTGGAGACTCAGTTGGTCGGGGGAGGGAGACGGATGCCGCGACATGGACGAGGCACGAGATTTGGCTAATATAAAGGGACCGGAGGTCCAAAGAAAAGGCTGCAGGGGGGGTTGCCAAGGATCCCTGGGGCGGGGTGCAGCTGAAAAGGATTTAGCAAATCAGCTAACGCAAGAGGAAGCAAGGATAAATCCAGATGCCCCGAATAATTGGGGAACATGCCAACCTGCGCCAAAATGGCTCCCGGAGCATTCGGTCTCAGAAACCCGTGCGAACGAGGGGGGGCAATGGAACCAGAAAATCTGGCGCAATGTGTCTCTGGTCCCAAAATCTGTTGGTCTCGCTTGGGGGAAAGACCCGAGTCGCAACCGGCATCGATCGCCGCGACGGGGTATAAAAACAGAATTAGAAACAATAAGTACTTACTTTGTGACAGTTGCACAGATTGCATAGATTGTACAGATTGTACGGATTGCACCTTTTTTGGTCCGTACGCAACAGTCTTGCGTCGAATGTGTGAGGCAAAGTCAAATTTTGGTGCGATGGAGACTTGGCTTTCGGGGGCTCTGGGCACGGGCACGGGGGTCCAAGTTGGAAACGAGATGACGTAACTTGACTCGCACCGAACTCGCTGGTGGAGTGACTCAACTGACAAACTGCCTCGACTGGCCCGTTGCTTGTCGAGTTGGACCCCGTCCTGCGCGTGCTGCATTGTTGCGCCGGCTGATGCCAAGAACGACAAATAGGGGACCGCGCCGAGACAGGTTGATGAGAGAGTGAGGCGATGGCAGATGACGGGTTTGGGTTGGACCCGGTTGCACCGCCGAGGAGCTCGTGACTGGGGAAAGTTGGCAAGCCCGGTATTTTGGCGTTTGCAGCGTGGTCCTGGTGATTCTAGGGGTATGGGTTTCCTGCTGAATAAGTCAAGCTGGTGTCAAGCTTGTGATGGAGTCGTGATGGTCAGAGTCATGACAGTTGGAGTCTCGAGGGTTAGAGTGGTAGAGGGCCCAACCATGCTTATAGATCGCTGGGCACGTTGCGCCTGGTGGTGGTTATCAACAGCCTAACGATTTGTAAAGCTATGACAAAAGTCCTCTGCACATTTCCCGGGCCGAAACTCTACTCGTCCAAGAAAACACCAGCAGGGCTGCTGGTTGTGCCAGTTTGGGCCAGTAACTCGGGAGTTTCCACCGAGCCAGCTGCATGCCACAGTCTGTCGGACTTTAAGAGCCCTTTTTTGGAATCCCCGGGCCGGACTGCGAATGGACTTTACCAGATTGAATCTCATGCGGATCCTTTCTCCTTGCAGAAAATCCGCCGACTTGGCTTTTCTTGGTATCTGGAGATCTGTTGGGGTCATCAATATCATTGTTGTTCAAGAGCATGCTTTGAAAAGACCAAGGCCGGATCTCCGGTGAAGGGATGCGACTGATGCACCCACCAACCCACAGGGCACGACGGCAGACCAACAAGCGTCTATCAAACATTCCTCTCCTACATCGCACCGTGTTCCGAGCGGTCTTGACTAAACACAATGTGAGGTGTCAAGCAACTCTTCCCCCACACGGAGGCACTCCAACCGGGTTGGCGCCAAGAAGATGCCCGCTTGGCCGTCAACGGGCTGCATCTCGGGAAACAATCCGGTGATCCCTCCTGCAGGTGTCGGGCTGTTCTCAGAGATCCCCGGCGATTTTTTTTTTCAGATTACATATCGGTAGGGAGCGAGTTGAAGAAGTCCGACCAAGAAGTTGTTGAACAAGCCGACGAGGAAATGTCTTGGGAGGACGTTGCTGCAGAGACGATCAAAGGGCAGCCTTCCAGGGCCCACTCCAACGTTCTGCAATGGGGGTGGGGGACAGTCTGAACAGGCCCTCCTTGGGCAAAAAAATGCCGAACTCCAAGATGTACCTTTAAGGTGACCAAACCGACTAAAGGAACGAAAGGAAAAACCATTCCGGAAAACACAAGGTCTGCCTTTGATTTCACCTCGGCTCTACTTTTATTTGAAATTTTTTTTTTTTAAAAAAAAAAAATCTTGTTTCTTGGTTTCCTTTACTCCTTTCTCCTTTCTCGTTTCTTGATTTCTTGTTCTCTTTTCGAGTTCGGCCTTTTGTGGCCAGGGGGTGGGCGCCCGGAGCTGATCTGAACAGCGCTGACTACTACCCTGGTTCGTGAGGGGCTGGTCGGAGACCAGATCGGAGCTGCCTGCCGGGATTGAATTTGTTGGGGCAAGCGACAGCTCTATGTAAGACACGAGGCTCTCGAGGAAAATGAAACTCGGAATTTTGCCTCCTCAGAATCCTGGCATTCGGAAATGCACCATTCAGCAAGCATGTGGGGGCATCTGCGACGGCACCGAGCGTCGTTGAAGTTGAGGTGCAGTTATTGTGCAGGTTGGGAAGCATTCAGGATGGAGGCCGATGCCGCAAGAGGGGTGCACAATGCGGGGTAATATATTGTTCAAGAGCTGAGGCGAGGGGGCAACTGTGGAGGAGGTGGGACCGCTAACAAGAAGCTCGCTTCGCCCGCCTGCAGGGCGCCTGCCATCCCGCGTGCGTCCCAGGATCCAGGGGAAGGGTGGGGCTGCCAGTAATTTTTTTGTCGCGACAACACAAACCGGTCGGGCAAAGCGATGTTGTGACTTCTGACTTCCTCTGTATGAACGGAGCTTGTTCTTTCCCGCGCGCTTGGGCTGCACTTGGCACCCACTATGGTCTCCCGCTCTCCATTCGTTTATTTAGTTTTGCCCGCAGCCAATTCTCCCGTTCTTTAAATCGCTCCCCCGCATCCACAAGGTACTTGGGTACCCTCGAACAAACCCCGCCGCGACAGCTCGAAGACCGCCGGGGACTCCCGCTCTCGCTACGCTGCTCCCGGCCCGGTACCCAGACCGCGCATGCTTTTCTCGGCCAGAGTTCCGCTTTCTGCCCCGTACATCGCCGTCGGATAGCCAGTCACCTGGCCCCGAGCGTAGCAGCCGGCAAGATGGATGAGGGCGACAGGTCTATTAAGAGATCGCTTGCCGCCCAAGATCCCATCGTCCGGGAGCTTCTTCAGGAAGACGTCGAGCACGGTGTTTTGATACCGTTGAAGACGACGCTTGAGTTGCGTGATGACTACCAAACAGGGCACGTGCTAATTACTCGCACGCCGACCAAGGCCGCTAACCCGGCCATCCTGTACGTCTTCTTGCGCCTTTCCAGCCTTGCGTCCCCTTCTTTCTGACACACCCTAGCATGCTGCGCAGCTTGCTCCCAGATGAAATCATTAAGGGTGTCCCTCATCTCCGCAGGTGCGCCAAGCCGTCGGACCTGCCAGCCCATCTCAAAGCTCAATTCATGAACGAGTCCCCACAGAGCCGACAAATACATACGGGCAAGTCGAACTGGATCTACATAATCGTTGGGCCCGAGAATATGCTCAATCGTGATGAGGTTATCAGCGCGCTGTCTTCGGTGGAGGGCATGGAAGGGGAAGTGTTTCTCCGTCGCATCCCCGTTCCGATGGTCTCCCCGACATCGCAGGTTCAGGCTGCCATGTGGTCACAACACTTTTGGCCGTCGTTATACCGAAAGAACAATCCGCTGGGGCCGCATCCTTCCATGATCGCTCGCCAGACGGACGAAATAGCCGACGACGCTGCCATCTGGATGACGCTGGCGCACAAGGTGGCGAAGGAATCCCATGACGCGGGCTACGGGGAGCCCATGGGGGCTTGCGTTATTCAGCGGGACGAGGGCAAGACCACACTGGTTGCGCTCGCCGGTGACTCTCGCTGGTGCCATCAGGAAAAGACCGGGTGCACCGGAAACCCCATGGCACACTCGGCGATGCGCGCGATCAGCATAGTGGCACAGAAACTCGTCCGAGCCGAGAACAGAAAGACACAGACCCGGCAAAAACCCATCCTCGAATTTGAAGCCTTCCAGGACAGCCCGATCGCTGGCGACGAAATGAAGGTCTTTGAGTTGGAGCACCCGAACCCCGACGGCTATCTCTGCCACGGGCTAGAGATGTACCTCACGCACGAGCCATGCGTTATGTGCTCGATGGCCATCCTTCATTCACGCATGGGCAAAGTTGTCTTCCGTCACCGTATGCCGTTGACGGGCGGCCTCTGCGCTGAGGATCGTGGCCGAGATCATCCCTCCCTCAAGGGCGCCGACGGTGGCCGCGGGCTCGGCTTGTTTTGGCGCCGGGAACTGAACTGGAGCATGGTTGCGTGGGAGTGGGAATCGAGCGGCTGTTTGAAGCCACTTAGGGTAGACAGGGCGGTCCATGCCTAGACCACGTCTCCTACCTGCCCGCTCGGGCAGCCCGTCAGGGCGTGTATAGTGTTAGGGGTCCCATGTGCATCATTGCTTTTGGTTGGCAAAGCAGAAGCCAGAGGAGTTAGGTAGTCCTCTCGTCGGTTTGGCAGTATGGCGCAATATTTCTTTATTTCTTTTGAGCAACGGGGATACTCGAGGCTGGCGTTAGAAAAGCAGTCATCGCAAGCCTGGCGTTGCCGGATATGTCATAGATTATTGGGCTGTCGAGCCATCGACAGGTGCATTGTAGGAGTTAGATGGCGCTGATGAATATTATGCATCCTACGATATCAAGAGTTAGGCCGTCGATGGTGGTGAGGCTGAAACATCAAAAACAGCCTACCGAGATGGTAATTATTTCACGAGTCGCTTGCGGCAAACACTCACAGACAGACCAAAAAAAACATACCCCCACGCGGCAATCTTCGGCTTTGCCAGCCTCACCAACCACCCCCTGACATTGATCAACCACTGATGTCACAAGCTGGAACTCTCCCAAATAATTAAGCTTTTAAGTCTCTTGGCCGAGCTTGGCTATGAAGCTTAGGTCTCAAATACCAGTGCAAACAAATTAAAGGGTGCTCTTGGCTTTGGGGGGCGGATCAATGGATGTTAAGGGCTTCTGCAGCATCTTCTGGCCAGCCCCTATTGACCTCGAGCCCCCAAGATGAGGTGGAAACCGAAGGGACCGGCGTTGAGCGGGTGGTGTGGGTCACCTAATCAACCCCAGCTCCCACGCCGGTGCGCACCCGCACCTGAAGGTCAGCGTTGATTTGGCCGACCCCTCCCACGTGCCTCCTCCGCCCCGACAACCTGTGCAAAACTCAGGCTGGTCGGTTTGAGAATTTAGCGCTCATTTGTGACGGTTGTTCTGGGTCACTGACTTCACAACGCTTCCACCGCAGCTCTCAACCATCAACACTCGCTCGCCTTTTCCATGCCAGTTGTCATCCAGACTGAACAATTTTATTACATGTCGTGGCAAGAACCCTTGCCAACATCGTGCCCCATGCTGACCCGCCGCATTCGCGATTGTTCGATGCCCACGATTCAATAACACGGGCTTTTTTTACATTGGTGCTGCCTCAACATTGATAAGTAGCTAGCTACCTCGAAACCAACGCCCTTGGATAGTCGTTCAAGGCAAAAGACATCACGACCAAGGTGGCTTCTTTGGTTTAGTTTGAATCTAACCTACAACCCTTTGGTTGCAAACCGGTCAAGATGCCGGTGCTAGCGACCAACAACTTTAACATCATACTCAGCGTGCTGGGAGGGGTGGGTGTCACTATTCGGCCTAGTTTCGTATCTCTGCAAAGAGAGCTTCTACCTCTCTGAGGCCCGTACGTAATCCCTGCCCCTCAAACCTCCGACACCCAAAATTAAATATCTCGCTCGAACAAGTGATTTCCCTCCTGGCGGGCGTCGCTCTCTCCCCGCACGCCGCCAACTTCATCCGCCCGCTAGACTACGCGCTCGGGTCCGAGGAGAATCTCGCGGCCATCACGCTAGCCTTCTCGCGCCTGGTTCTCGGCGTGCAGCTCGTCCTCGCCGGCGTCCAGCTGCCCAGCCGCTACCTCAAGAAGGAATGGAAGCCGCTCTCCCTGCTGGTCGGGCCCATCATGGCCGCCATGTGGATGGCCACCAGCCTGCTGGTGTGGGCCCTCGTCCCGGGAATCCCGCTGCTGCACGCCCTCGCCATCGGCTCGTGCGTCACCCCCACAGACCCCGTGCTGTCCGCCGTGATTGTCAAGGGCAAGTTCGCCGACCACAACGTGCCCAAGGACCTACAGAAGATCATCATCGCCGAGTCGGGCGCCAACGACGGGCTGGGGTATCCGTTCCTATTCTTTGCGCTGTACTTGATCAAGTACATCGGGGACGGGGCCACGCCCGGGGACGGCGGCGCGCGCGTGGCGATGGGGATGTGGTTTGGCGAGACCTGGGGGTACACCATCCTGCTGAGCGTGGCCTACGGCGCGGCGGTGGGCTGGGTGGCCAAGGAGCTGCTGCACTGGGCTGAGGAGCGCAAGTTTGTGGACCGTGAGAGCTTCCTCGTCTTCGCCATCTCCCTCGCTCTCTTTATCGTCGGGACGTGCGGCATGATCGGCAGCGACGACGTGCTCGCCTGCTTCGTCGCCGGCAACGTCTTCACCTGGGACGACTGGTTCCGCCTCGAGACCCTCGACGACTCGCTGCAGCCGACCATCGACATGCTGCTGAACGTGTCCATCTTCATGTGGTACGGCGCCGTGTGCCCGTGGGATTTGTTTTTGCACAACGAGGTCGTGCCCATCGGGAGGCTGATTGCTCTGGGGGTGCTGGTGCTGCTGTTCCGCCGCCTGCCGTGGGTGTTTGCCATCCACAAATTCATCCCGCAGATTGAGGAGGTGCGACAGGCCATCTTTGTGGGCTTCTTCGGGCCCGTGGGCGTGTCGGCCATCTTTTACCTCTACGTCACGCTGGAATTTCTTCATACGCTAGATGTGGACGGCGACGCGAGGGCTGATGTCAAGGCGCTGCCCGAGGCGGTTACCGTGGTCGTGTGGTTCATTGCGATTTGTAGTATCGTAAGTAAAGGAAGGCTGTTTCGTCAGAGTTACGGCGATTAACGCGATGTACAGGTTGTTCACGGGCTTAGTATTCCATTGGGAAAGCTGGGCTTCTATCTCCCGAGGACGCTTTCTCGTTCCATCATGTCGCCCTCCAGCGAGGGCCCGGACAACGCCCTTCCCTTTTCACTCGGTAGTAGGGTCACTTCTTTCACTACCCGCCAGCAACCGGGAGGGGAGTCGGGGGATGAAGCCGGAGAAGGGAGTAGACGTTCCGTGTTCAGAATCGGGGGCTCCATCATCCCTCGACGACAGGAGGCGAGGGGAGACGTGGCGCCTGGTCGAAATGAAATACCGGATTCTAACAAGAACTCCTCAACCGATGCAGTGGGAAGCGGACAAGAGACGGTAGTTGAGAGTTCGGTGCAGTACATTTCTCGGACGGTTCGGTTCCCTGACGAACCGCCGACCACTGTTGCCCAGGTGGCAGGCCCTTCTGGGCAATGACACTGCCAAGGATGGCCGGACCATTGGCATTGAGGAGTCAGAGGTTTCGATGGTGACACGAAATCAGACTTGACTTCGCGACGTTTCCACTCCCAAAGCCAGTTGTTTCAAAAGCAAAGATTTATCTTAACAATAAATTGACGCACGAGATAGATAATATGATTTCACTCGACTTCATTCTCTCCCCGCAACTGTCGTGTTTTGATTCAGGGGGATTAAGCAAAGGATGGCCCCTCTTTTGGTGGAGAGAGATGTTCTTGTCGGTGGGCATTCGGACTCGCCATTGGGACCACATCCAACTTGCTCCGCTCCAGCTGTCAAACTAAACTGGTGCACTAATTTAGCGTTGTCCGCAGTCTCGTGGCGAATTCCCCGGTCCGGTGTCCGGGCTTCCTTCCATTCGGTGATGAAATCGGACGGATCTCATTCGTGCCTGGCGGAGTTACCCATCCCATCAGACACATCAGACAGATGATGGTTTGCTACCCAAACGCCTCCTCCTTCTTGCTCTCACTTAGCAAGACGACCGTAAACGGCCGGCGCTGCCAGACTAATTTCAGACAAGAAACAGACCCGCTCTAGAACGGCCAAGGAGAAAAACACCCACCGCTTGATCACGTTTTTCGTGGGCTTCATGTCGATTGGGTGCCTGGTGGTGATGTGGCGGGAATGCGCAGGGCAACCAGCTCACCGCCATCGTCGCGGAGTCGCTGGCATTATCGGGCAGCTGTTCATATCTACAAATATTGATCTACCTATATTGATATGCAAACATCCACAGACTTCAATTGTAGAAACCAAGAGTTGGTGTGCGGCTTGTATTCGTATCGTGAGTGTCGTCGCTCCGAGTATGCAATTAGTTCGTTATTCGTTAAATAGGTAACTACAAAATGAGATGAATCAGGAACCAGGAACCGGGCAGCAAGTGTCTGTGCAGAGCTTCCCACCCACCCACCAAACCGGTAGGGCTTCGAGATTTCCCCCCTCGTTATCTGCATAGGGATGGTAAAATGTGGGATGTAATTAGCATGCATCTCTGTGCATCAGCCACCCTGGCGCTAGTCCCTGGCCAGCCTGTTGCGTGGCCCTGCTGCTCAACCTTTGGGTTTTGAGGTGACCCGAGATTACCTTGGCTTCTTGGTCGCCATTTTCCTGACCGCGGGGAGGAAGGAACGGCACTTTTCATCCAGCTTGCTTTTTTTGTCGCTACCCGACCTTTTCCAGCGCATCTTTTGATCAATTCTATACCAAACATGCCGCAGTAGTTGCCGGAGTTGCTTTCCCCGACACTACCTCAATTCTGCCTCCGTTTATTTTCCTTTTCCGCGTCGCCGACTCCGAGACCGACTGCGTTGCATCAATCCCACCAATATTCCCGGTCGGTCGGCCGCTCCCAACAAAAAATGGCTGGTTCAGCACAATGTGAGCCCGACTTCGACATATCGCATTACATCAACGAGTCGCATTTCGCAAACGAGTTTATCGATTCTGATGAAGGGAGTCCGCTTCCCGACCTGCTCGAGTCCGATGTTGCCAGCCCCCGGCCTCACCGCCCGCACAGCTCCGGCGCCGACTCATTTCACGCCATGCCGGATGCCCCGCAAGGTTGTGGTTCCCCCTCGGAGGCCCTCGGGCTTGTAAGTACGAGCTCGCGCTCCAGGGATGGTCATCGTGGGTCTACGTTTGACTCGGGGTCTTCGAAGCGGACATCAACTACGGCCTTGACACAACTAACCGCGGGCGATTTGCGGCTGAATGGCGCCAATGGCAAGACAGATTGGGACATGATGGCAGACGCCTTTCCAGGGACCGACGCCAGCGTATTTCCCATGGGGGGACAGACATTTGAGTTTCTAAACGGGCGTGGCGCCCCCGCGCAGTCCCGGATGCAAAGTCCAATGGACAGTCCTAGTCCATTTGGGTCTGCTCTCACTGCGCTATCTCCTGAAGCTATCATGGCCTCTCCGCCGCCTGGCGATGAGAGCTACCTGGTAAGTTTGCACGGGGCACGTGCCGTTTCTTGCATGCTGACCAGCCCGAAGCCATTCACCTTTAAAGCGCCAGGACTGCGGCAGGATGCGACAGCAGAAGGGCCGTTATGTATGCGCCCATCTCAAGCGCCGGTGGCGCTGAAGTACGAATTCCACGGCTCACAGGAAGCAGGCGCCGGGTCGACAAGCATAGCTGGGTTCATGGACGCCCTCTATCCGAACACAGGTCAACTCGCCGCAGGGGGCCCGTTCTTCCCGAATAACGGCCACATGCCCCCGGTCGACTATCAGCCATATGGCCCCGGACCGTACACATTAGAAGTCGGTGCCACAAATACCAAATCCCGAGTTGAGACGCAGATTACGATCAAGCTCAGGCTCCCGCAGCTCCCGCTTGGGGTCACAAAGGTCCATCTTCCCAAACATACGATCAGCAAGCCCAAATTCTGGACAAAGCCGCCCCCGCAACCGTCACCAGATACGCTCGAGCTGCATGTGACGCTTGTTTGTACAAGCGCGATGCAGGTGCAACAACAGAGAACGGCGGCTTTACAGCGGGCACAAACGGCTGCAGGGTTACGAAAGAAAAATGAGAGCACAAAGTCGGAAGAGGAGGTCGAAGAGGTGAAAACGCAGGAGGGTGGCGAGGTTCAAATCTGCGAGAATTGCATAGGCCGAGAACGAAAACGCGCGGGTCGCAAGAAGTCGAAGCACCCGCAGGACGAAGAGGCTTGGAGGCAGGACGAGGCGAAGCGAGTGATCGTTTTCAACACGCAAGAAATCAAGGAGTGGGCCTTGCAGAATCACCCCGAGACCGGCTCCCGGAGGTATTGGCAGGTGGAGGCACCCATGAGAATTGCCTGTTATTGTCGACACCACGCCGAAAAGCAGGGGTTCCAGATCATCTTCACCTTGACCGACCATCTTGGCAAGCTTGTCGCCCAGACCATGTCCGAGTCCATAATGATCACCGACGATCACAAGACGACGAGCCCCAATCCGATCTCGAAGCCCGCTTCCGGAATGCCGGCCGCAATGCTCACCCCGCGGGAAGAGCTGCCCATACAAGTCGCTCCGGGCCCCGGGCCTTCGTTGGAGTCATCCCCGAGCCTTGACTTGCAGGCCGCAAGACGGAGTTCCTCAAGCTCGACGCCCATCTCGGCAGTGCCGCCAGAGCAACTTCAGCCATCATTTACCGCTCAACATCTCTCCCGCCCCGCGTCCCCTTCGTTCTCCACCGGGCCAGCGAAACGTCGGAGAGCCAACAACTCGACGTCAAAAATACCCAGCGACTTGGCCATGACGCCGCTTGATACATCGTTTTTATCCGCTCCCCGGATGCCTAATTCCTCTACGAATTCCAACATGGTCACCCCGGCATCATCGTCGTTCTCCCCGACACCTCCCCCCTCGTTCCCGCCACCCGCGGAGCTACAATTGTTTGGTCCTAGTCCTGCCATGCCAGATGTATCGACGAGTCCGTTCGGGAACAATCCGCTCTCAGGTGGCAACAACGGACAGCTTCTTTCGCCCAACCCGACCAGGGCGCCTAGCCTGGCCAACCTAGCCATCTCTATGTTTGGCCCGCCTTCGTCAGGCCGACATAATCCAGCTGTCTCCCCGGCTGCTGCTCCTGCTCCGCCCCGCCACGCACCACACACCGCCGCCGGCCAAGGGAGGAATCAACAACCCCAGACGCAAAGGGCCATTTTCAAGGTCATCCCTGGCGAGGGCCCTGTCGCTGGCGGCATCGAAGTTACCTTGATGGGCCAAGGATTCGAAGCTGGGATGCAGGTTATGTTTGGCGACAAGCAAGCGCCGGGTACTATGTACTGGTCATCGGAGAGTCTCGTGTGCTTGCTGCCTCCCTCCGAGATGGCTGGTATGGTACCTGTTACCATCAGAGGCCTGAACTTGGGCCCTCAGTGGTTCCGATACGTGGATGATAGCGAGCAGCAGTTGCTTCGCACCGCGCTCATGATCCTCGGCAACAAGATGACGGGTGGATACGAGGACCCGACCGAATTCGCCCGTCGAATTATCAAGGAATCCTCGAGTGGTTACCCCTCGGGTGGCGGTGACATGTCCGGCGCAGAAGGCTCCTCTAACCATGCCATGGACAACTTTGAGAACCACCTTCTCAAGCTAATGGAGCTGATGGACCTTAGCAACAGCACTCGGAAGCCGCGGCTTAATCTCAGGCGGAGGGTAACAGGCCAAACCATGCTGCACTTGGCCTGTAAGATGGGCCTGCACCGCTTCGTCGCCGGTCTCCTAGCGCGAGGCGCAAATCCAGACCCGCGCGACAACGGCGGCTACACGGCATTGCACATGGCATCCATGAGCAACCAGCCCCAGATTGTCCGGCTCCTGATCGCCCATGGGGCAGACCCAACGCTACGGACTTTGTCAGGCTTGACGGCTGTTGATGTCGCCAAGTCAAAGGAGGTAGTGCGCATCATCCACCGCTTCGAACAGCATCGACGATCACAAAGTGACAGTTCGTCGCACAGCCGCGTCAACAGTGTCGCCAGCTTCAAGTCAATTCGGGCGGCTGTGTCCCAAGAAATCGCTGATACGTCAAGCGATGAGCCCGGGCCGGAGGCGGAGAGCTCAGAGGAGTATTCGGAAGCCTACTCATCGGATATCCCGGAGGAGGCCGGAGCTGCCGATCAAACGGAGCTTCGCATTCGCCGGAAGAGCGCTGTCAACACGCCCGCCCGCGCGAGGAGCCCCTCTCGTCCCCGACGACGAGGTACCGACGCAACGGGTGCTCTTATGGCCGCGATCAAGGAGCAAGTTGCGGCTCAGTTCCAGCAGCTCCATCAGAGAATGGAGCCGCACCTGCAATACCTGCCGCAACTACCTCAGCTTCCCCAGCTTCCTCAGTTGCCCCAGTTCCCTCAATTCGCGCAGCTGCCCAACTTCCCCCAGATCCCCAACATGCCCCCGCTTCCCGAGTATCAAAACCAGGTCCTACAGCGGCTTGCAACTATGATTGGCGGCGCCAGGCCAGAGCCGGGCGTAGATGGACCCCAGAACAGGGGCGCCGAGAGCACCTGGCAGTACCTGTCACCCTTCGCCGCTAAGGCCACCGCAGCCCCCCCGGCCTACGACGAGCTCTTCCCTCACCAAGGCGACCTGGACACGAAACGATCATCTGCCGCCCAAGCAGCCGTCGACGCCGCGGCAGACTCCAAATGCGCCACGCTGTTCGACCAGGCAGAGACTTCGGCCTCAGCAAGCGCCGAAACCGACATCGCGGTCGCGGAGGATACTGCCGAGGAGTCGGAAGGCCAAGAGATCCCCGCACTGTTGCAGATCGGTCGCAAGGATGCCATCACCCAAGAGCAGCAGGCCACGCTCCGGCGAGCGCACGCGCAGAATCTGAAGAAGTTGAGCTGGGACCGGAACCTCTTCTTCGTCTGGGTATGTCTTCTCGCCAGCTTTTCCGTGTTTGTCCGAGTAGTCAACTAACTGATGCCACTAGATTCCGCTGCTCATCCTCATGATCGGTGCCATGGTCTACCATGGCATGCCGGGTTTTGTCGGGAAGACCCGCAACCCGATCTCGTTTGTCCCGAAGGCGCAGGTCGAGGTGCCTGTGGCTGTTCCTGCTGCTGATGTGCACCATGCGGCGGGCGTTCCTGGGGCTGTTGCTGCTGCGGCGGTGTAGCGCGTTTTTCTACAGTCTTTGAGGACGATTCGGGTGGCCTATGCACTGTTCCCATTTCTCTTTTCATAAACCTGGGGCGCGAGCTCGAATGTAGCGAGGGGCGCCGGAGTATGAGGCATGAGGAGTATTTTTTTTTTCTTGGGTAGGTAAACGGGTTTATTTTCTCAGGTCAATATTACGTACGGGACGTCAGGGTGTCTCGTGGAGGGCTAGAACGGTGGGCCGTGATCATCCGGCGGTTACGAGTACTGGAGGGTGTCTGCTTTTGATGGCCGGTGTGTTTTATCTTCAAGTGTCTAGACAGACGGGTGGGTTTCCTAGTAATCGTGGATGGGAGTGGGATGTGTGAATGTGGACTGTTGGCGGTGGGGTGTGGTATCACTGATGTTTTTTGGTATCTAGTCATGCCTTCTTGTATATAAAGATTGGGAGCTATATAGGAGCGTTGCGAGCGCAGCGCTAGGCTTTTATCGACGAATCCTGTGCTCTTGCTTTTTCTGGGTCGAATATTGTGTTATTGACTCACGGTGTTCGGTGACAAGGCGAGTTCAGATTCCAAACACTCCATATAGACAAGTTTACTCTCTCGACATAATCCAGCATATTATACGTCGGCAGTAACTAAACCACCGCCTCCCCTACTACTGTATAAACTGTGTTGTGGCGGTTATTTCAACGGATCCCACCACAAACGTTCCTTGTGCAGTGGTAGGAGTATGTACCTGATCAACCTCCCTCGCGAAGTACTACGAGGCACCGCTAAACAGGCACAGTCCGATCGCTGTTTTCCAGGCAAGTTTCTTTCTTTTGTTAGTTGCCTTGAGCTTCCAGAGGGCTTGCCCATCGATGACACGGTTGCGTCCCCCCTGAACCGCTTCTCTAACCCCCTTCCACTCCACCCCGCTCAACAGCGAGGCCGAGAAGGAGAACGGAGGGAGTGAGCAACGCAAGGCAGGGAGGGTTCGGAGGAAAGAAAGAAAGCAAAAAAAAAAAAAAAAAAAAAAAAAGACGGCCTCCACAACTCTGCCCGGTGACTCCCCCCACCCCCTTTGGCGCCTAAATCGTCACAAACACAGCAGCTGATGGGTGATACCACCCACCTCCCCACCACCCACTACCGAGTACGGCAAGGCAGTATCACCTGACAAAAACAAGCATCAAAAAAACAAGGTGTGGCGTTCCGGGGACGAGGGGGGGGAAAGGGGTAGCTGCCTGAGCTAGCTCCTTGTGTCGTGTAAATGTCGTGCGAGGCAGCCAGATCTTTCCCTGCCCAGGTCACTGGTCTTTGGGATTATTGGGGCTGTTGTGTGACTGATTGACTGACTGGCTGACTTGTATGTACTGGGGAGGTGGTGTTGCTGTCTGTTTTGTGACATGGGACACGAAGGGCCACCGCTTTTCTTTCCGTCGCTTCGGCGCAATCACGGCGTTGGCTGGTTGGGTTTCTGGCTACACTGCTGCTGTCTGCTGTGTGTATGTACGTACATATTTTACATGCGCATCTCCCGCAGGGGGTTGCTCGGTGAGCGACATGTGGTGTCTGCGGTGTTGGTGGTACATTACTCGATTGTTTTTCTTGTCTTTTCTGACTTGCCGTGGTGACGAGGAGGAGGTTGGGCGGAAGATTCACTGTGCAAAGGTTTGGACGGTGAACTTTAGAATCATAGTACGTGTAGACTGCATATAACTACAATAACCGAGAATCAACGTGGCTCCCGTAAGGTGCCGTACCTGCGAGCTAGGCTGTAGCTGACATGGTCACTTGCCTTGTTATACTAGAGGCGATACCTGAGCTGTCTCTCTCCTAACCTTGGTGAACAGATTTCATGACAGATATGCAATCCATTACCACGCAGATGCCTAAATCATAGAGTGGGAGCCTGCATCCCATAAATGTCCCTGGTCATCCTCGGCCTACAGACTTTGCTCCGTGCCGGCTTGCCTGGTTCAGGGGGTTCGTTGAAGAGAGCACTCTGTATGAAACACGGGACACTACGGCAACAGCAAGCCACATCCGAGCCCTCGGCACGAATGCGCACGAGTAGGCTTGCTTCCAAGATGCCGCTGGCCGGGGAAAAGACGCGGCCGCTTGCATTGCCGACGGCATGTGACGGGATGAGGCCCGTTGGTCACCCTTCTCGGCCGGCTAGGCCCCTGGTACATACCTGTATTGATAGGCGATATCTCCGTTTACGGAGGAGGTGCGTACGATGTCATCGGATCTGGAGCCCCTCATGAAGATGCGGGAGGGCTGCACAGTAGTAACCCGTGACGACGGCCAGACCATGTCAGAATGGCTCGTCGGTTAGTCGTAACGCAGCAACAGCACCAGCACGAGCACGGCGCGTAATGCCGGAGCGTCTAACCGGGCGAAACCACAGAATTATCCCGTGCCTGTGCCGTGTTACTTTGCTCCGAGTTTACCTCGTACATGGCACACAGCACACACTGCGCCGCAAGCAAGCCGGGTGTCTGGCCACGGCGTGGTTCTGCATCGTTGAGGGGCACCGAGGGACAGATCCGACAGGGCTACGAAACAGCTGCAGCTGCATGCGGTTTTTTGAGAAAGCCTCTCTGGTGCATCGTCGCCCCGAAATAACTATTTGCTTCCGGGCCCGGTCATCCATCCCTCAACATCACCACCAAATACACTCCACTGGCAGCACATAACCCCCCTTGCCCCCCACCTTCGTATTAGATTAGTGATGCAGCTAGATCAGCCACAAGGTAGCAATGCAGCATGCGGATTCCGGTTGTTGGCGCCCGCATCCCCAGAATGGGCCACAAGATGCAGAACCGTTTTTCTTTTTTTCAATCAAGAAAAAAAGAAAGGGGGAGATGGAAGCGTGAGGCCTGCGTGCGTGCGTTTCGATGCCACGTTTATTTCGAGGAGATCAAATCGCAAGTCTCGATCGATCCCATGGGGCACTGCTCGACCGTTACGCTAGGTCCGTTGCGGGAAACTGCCGGTGCTTTTTGCGATGGCAAATCGGCCTTGACATCGAAGTTATCGGCTGTATGGAGGGATATGGGGTGTGTACAACTCCACGGGATGGGAATAACATGGAGATGGAGGTCATTGTTTGGTGGTTCAGCCTGAATCGGGTGTGCGCCGGGAGTGGCCTGCCTGGTGGTGGCGGGCTCTCCTGTTTGCAGGACTCAGTTCAGTGGCAAACCAGGGGAACTTCAGGGACCTAATTGCTGGCATCGGTTGCATTTCCATGTTAGGTGCTTGCTTGCATCTGGGCTGCCTGCACGGTGGGGGCAACGTGTTGTCAAAGCGCGGGCAGGAAGGCACGAAGCCGCCTTGAAGGAAAGCGGGATGTCGCAACTTGGGCAGCTGGGGCACGCAAAAACCGGTCACTGATTGGATTTGGAAATGAAAACGGCTTGTTGTCGGTCGTGGTTCCCGGGGCCGAAGAGTTGGGCTTAGATTTCCTGGAACTCGCAGTGAACAAAGCACCCATGAATTCGGAACCGGAATCGAGACCATTTCCCCTCCGCATCCATGGCCTGGCCGGAGCTCGCGAGATAAAGAACCCACAGGCATCGCCCCGGGTCGAGGGTCGATGTGCTCCGACGATTATCGGAGACGGGAAAAGCCACGTCATGGGCTTTGTTGTCGAACGATATCCATGGGCCAGGTGGTCGGCATTCTCCGTCATCAGACTAACTAGGCTCCTAGTCTGCTACACTAGTCAATTCAAATCTCAACCATCACTGCCGCTGACTCTATCAAAGACATTACTCCGTTAAGTTAGCCTTGGGAGGCTTGCACTGTGCTTGTCCGAATGCCACGGATTACTCCGCCACAGTGCGAGTGTGCCTGTGGAGGGGCGAATTCCCATCACCGAGCGTGCTGGTGACTGTCTAGCTTCTTGGTATGCTCATCCATCAACCTCTTTGCCAACGCCACAATGGGATTGTCCTTGTCGGCCTGCTCTAGCGCCGCCTGCTGCTGCTGCTCGTTCGGCTGCGTCTCGGCGAACAGATCCCGAACCTTGCCCGACCCCGTTGCCGTCTGCACCACGGCGAGCGTCGTGGCGAACTCGGTCCGCTCCGCCGCCCCGAGCTGGATGGCGTCGAGCATCAGCAGCGCAAAGTTCTGGCAGTTGTTGCTGATGAGGTTGTAGGCGGCCTTCTTCTGCCGCATCGAGTAGATGACCATCTCGCCCGCCTGCCGCAGCGCCTCGTCGTTGAACCGCGTCTCGCCCACCCGGAACGTCCGCCACTCCTCGGCGTCCACCCGCCCGTTCACGTAGATGATGTCGAGGTTCTCGTCCATCCACAGCTCGTGGCAGTAGTCGCCCACCAGCACCGCCCAGTGCTGCGACGGGTCTGGGTACTTGTGCACGTTCTCCGTGATCCACGCCCCGAGCTTGGTCCGCTCAGCGAACCACTTGCCCGCCGTCCCGCCCACCGGATGCCACCCGATCTCGACCGTCCGGGGCCGCTGGTTGGTGCGGGGCTCCGCCGCCGGGATGATGTTGGGTTTGTGGCCCAGCCCGAGCGAGTGTTCTAGCACGATCCGGCCTTTGACGAGTTCCTCTTTCCCGCGCGCGAAGCCCGTTTTGCTGGCAGGGTGGTTAACAACTTATGGTATGGTATGTATGTGGCCGCATCCGCGCCAAGACATCCCGTTGGGGGAGGGGAGGGCGTTGCGGTGTGTGTGGTTACAAGTCGGTACTTACAATAGCGACTTCATCCGCTTGCGCTTAGATTGCCCTCCCTTGTCGGAACCTGATTCTGAGCTGCCCATGTCGGCGTAGGTGTTCACTCGGGTTGTAGTGGTACGACGTTTTGTGCCTCAAACCAACAGAATCGAGTTTGATTCACGAATTCAAGACCAGTGGCTGCGCCGGAGCTGAGGATATCCCCAGATGGCAACGCCAGCTTATGTCCCACATCCCCCACTCTCCCCCAGCTCAGCCCCAGCGTGGCTGCGCCGCGGCCGCCGTCTCGTCTCTTTCAGCACCTCAGGTTTCTTTATAGAGTCGCCAACAATAGAATGCCCACGGCTTGGATGGAATGCGACGTAAAAACTCGGTGGCACTGGCCGGATATTCTTCTGAAGCTGTACGAAGCGCCCTCGGCGCTACTCGGCGCATGACGAGCAACCCGCCCACTGAGAGCGCTGGCCGCTTTGTGCGTGCGACTCAGAACACAAAAGGTGGCCCGGGAATCCCGGCCGACCTTGTTTGAGATGTTGCAGCTCCGCTGCTGCTCAAGGCAAGGGAGTCACTGGGAGTTAACACCCAAGAAACTCGATCGATTCCAGCGCCAGGGCGCTTAACGGGAAAAGGTTGACAGTCCCGGCTATGCCCGGAGAGGAGCTGGGGGGAGGGCGACGCGATCGGCACACCTCGGAGCTTCTTTCTCGATTCCTCCTGCACGCCGATTTCGTGCCAAATCGCTAGCTCCCTTTCGGCGGCCCTTGGCACCAGGAATGAGGACACATCCAACAACGCATGACGGTTTACAGCCAGGTCCAGATTTGTAGACAGAGTAAGGAGTAGGTAGTTACGTCTGTACATGTCATGTCGGTGATTTCTGCAAGAGAAAAATGATGAAAAGCTAGCCTTCCCGCCAAGGTGTTTTAATACTGCGCAGAAGCTCCCTAGAATCCCACGGCCGTTCTTCGGCCAGCAGCCAACCGGGTGTTTGCAGCCGTGCACGGCAGACACTGAGACGGGCCCCTGGGCCGGGTTGGATTTTGCGGAATGGTGGCTGGCTGGGCGTGACTGACGGCGTGTGATTGAACCAAGCTCTGTGTCCATGTGCCCGGCTTGACCCAACCGAGAGTCGGGGGCGTTGCAGGGGTGGGGGGATTGTGTGTGTCGGATCGTTAACGAGTCCTGGACTGGGTGACCATTGTCAGTTTTTGTCTTCGCTGTACACATCTCACCGAAATGATTTCCTCTTTTTTTTTCGCCTTCAGTAAACCTTCAACCATCAAACGGGATTGCAAAGACAAAGCTCAATCGCTCAAGCGATCGATCTCGTCGCCAAGGGTTTGCGGCGGAGCGATTGAAACGGTCCAGCGTCTTTGATCTCTCCATGCTCGGGGATCCATGGTTCGCGCAAACCGTTTAGGGCATGGTCTGGCCTGTGGCCTGGAGTCGACTGGCGGCAGAACCTGAACCCTGGATCAGAAATATGGAGTCCTGCCTCAACTGACCAATAGGAAGCTCATCTGCAGGACCCCGAGTGGCGGAGAAAACGGCATTAGTCCCGGAAAGGAAGCCTATCCCCAAGCGTGCGGTGCGGTGCTGCACTGTGCTGCTCCACGGCCTGGGACCCCTTCCCGCTGGGCCGGGAATCCGTCTCAACCACTCACTGGTCCAGCCGCCCACCCACCGGGTTTTGTTGGGCCACCGAGACGAGATGACCGAATCGACCCATTCCATCTCACACAGTGTTAAATATGTCTACCGTGGACGGTGCCCCGCAACCAGCAGGCGGAATGATCACCGCGACTGGGGGGTCGACCGACCTCCACTGCAAGATGCACCTGCCCTGCCCTGCACCCGCTGTGCTGTGACATTGCGCCCGCCCTCATTTCCATCCCCTGCCTTTCTCTGCACATCCCAGCCAGGGCCGGGTTTGTTCTTTTCTCTCTCACCCCGTCTCCTGCATCCTGCGTGCCGAACTTTCGACACCCCTTCCCTTCTTTCTTCGGCCTCCACATCGCGAAAGAAACGCGGCGCGACTTTCTCGATAGGTTGCGAAGAGGATACGAATAGTTGCAGAGGGCGACGGCAAACTGTACCGGACGATCGGACAGCGGCAGGAAATCCATAACCGGTCCACTAGCTGAGACGAACCACGCAACGCTGCCACAACCTGCCACCCACCCAATAACAGCCCGTCGGGTCCGACCGTGCTTTTCAGCTTTCCCGTCACTCTGGTTTCTGGAACCGCTGGGTCCTCCCTCCTCTCCACACTCGCCCCTCTCCATCAACCAACCTTCATCCGATCGTCAGACAAACGATTGATCACTTGTCGTTTTGTCTCTTCCAACGCCGACTTGATTAAACTGTGTATTGACACGCGGTCCCCGATAATTCTCGATTTTGCGACCTTGTCCGAATCGCCAAGCGAATCACGCACCCGACAGCGTGTAATCGGGACGTTGCACGATTGAGACGTATTTCGCTACTTTCATTGTGGTACTCGGGACTTTGGGGCTGCCGATTGTGAATTGTTTGTTCGGCCTCCCGAAGTCGCCTGCGCTGTGACGGGCGAACTGCTTGCATCACGGTGTAAGTGCTGCGCGCATATCTTGACAATTTTTTTTTTTTTACGCTCTTGCTGTGTTGAGATGCAGCATCGCTGACGCTGGATTTAGTATCTGATCAAAATCGGGTAATCCGGTGTGGTTTGGTGGTTTTTTAAAGTGGGATTGAATCCTCATTCACCAAGATGGGCGCACCGATACTGGCTTCGGCCGCTCACGCCGTTCCGGCACTCGAAACCGGCGGCCACGCCATGGATGCTTCCATCACCTCCAGAGAGACCAAGGGCGGCCGTCGGCTATGGTACCGCATGAGGGTCATCCAGCAACCGGAGCGTGCGAGAGCCTGTGGTTCTGGTCCGAAGTGTAAGTGAACCCGATATTCGTCTCACGCGATGCAAGATCTGACGGCGTGTATGCAGCATCGGCCGACCGTCGCCCTGTGGACCCGCCTCCCGTTGTGGAGCTGCGTATCTACGAAGGGCAGACATGGGACCAGGCGCAGGAGAAGGACATCACTTTTGTCTACAATGCCAACTTCTTCCTCTTCGCTACGCTCGAGCATGCTCGCATCATGGCCCACGCTCGCGGGTCGGCATCTTCTGCTAACACGCCGCCTGTGCTTACTGGCATGCCCGTTTCCGGCATGGCGTATCTGGACCGGCCGGAAGAGGCTGGCTATTTCCTCTTCCCAGATCTCTCGGTAAGGCACGAGGGCCGGTACAAGCTGACCTTCAACCTGTACGAGGAGACCAAGGAGGACAAGGACAAGGATAAGGAGCGCGATGTCGAAAGCCAGCCGCCTCTCACCGGCCTCAGCCCCGCCACGGGAGGATCGTTCGATTTCCGCATGGAGGTCAAGTCGCAGGACTTCATCGTTTACAGCGCCAAGAAGTTCCCGGGTCTGGCCGAGAGTACCGCCCTCAGCCGTGTGGTGGCCGAGCAGGGATGTCGCGTCCGTATCCGCCGTGACGTGAGGATGAGACGCCGCGATGGAAAGGGTGCTGGGGACTACGACAACGGTGAGGAGGAGTACAACCGCAGGAGGAGAACGGCGACGCCGGATAACCGCAACAACGACTTTGCGGCCCGGGCGCGCTCGATGAGCGGTAGCACGGAGCGTACACCGTATTCAGCTGACCCGCAACGCCGGCCGTCCATGGCGGATTATCCGTCGCAGTATGCGCAGAACCCGCCGGCCGGTGGCCATCTGCAGTTCCTCGGTGGGAACGCTAGCTCGCAGTACCCTGCTGCTCCACCACAGCCGTTTGCGCAGCCTCCGTCGGTCCCCGCGTCACCCGTGTACCCGCCCACCCAGGCCGCTCCCTACCAGATGCAGACCTCATATCCGCCTCCGCCCCCGCCCCCTGCGCCGAAGAGAGAGCGGACGCCTTCCCAGTCGGGGTACGCCCCGATCAACCCGGCTCCTCGCCGCGAGAGCATCCACCACGACTACCGTCCGTCTGGCCCCATCCAACTCCCGCCGCTGCCTCCTCCGCCTTATTACCCGCCGACGCCGCAACAGTCGCACATGCCACCCCCGCAGCCGCCGCAGGTCCTCCCGCCTCTCCAGATCGACAGCAACAGCAAGAGCAACAACCGCCTCCCGATGCCGAGCCCAACGGCCCTGGCCAACAGCGCCCCGCGCCCCCTCGCCTCGCTCGCGCCGCTCGCGCCGCTTATGCAGAGCACCAGCAGCAGTGCCGGAAAGGGCCCGGTTCACCCGGCGACTCTGCCGCCGCCGGCCGTGTACGCCGGCGCCAAGCGGGCGCACGACGAGTCGTTCTGGTCCGAGCCGGAGCACGGGCGATACCAAAACGGCACGCGGGACAAGGGGAGGTCGGAAGACATTATCACGGACCCTACGTCCATGCCGTTCAGACGTGCCGACGGAACCGAGGCGGATGGCATCAGGCTGCGGTACTAAGTGTATGGGGATTACGAAAGGTTGCGTGCGTGCGTGCGTGCGTTGTTGGGGTTGGCTGTGGCGGTTTTTGGTGTTGGGGAGTTTTCTCGTTCTCTTCGCTTGCTTTTCTTGTTCGCTTTTCCAAACGCCTATACGAGTCAACGAAGGGTTGGCTTGCTCGCGTGCCGGCTTGCTGGCCCTGCTTTCGTGGTGCATATCGCTGGCGCGCTCCATTCTGGGTACCGCACGAAGGGGGAGGATTCCGGGGATGGGGCCGCCTGCCTTTTCAACTTTGCTTTGGCATTGACACTGGCGCTTGTTTTGGGATAGGGTGGTTCCGATGGCCGCACTCGACACACATTCACTGCAGATTTTCTTTTCTTTTTTTTTCGTTGCGGATAGCTCGCTCGATACACGACGGACGTCGCTCTTGTTTTTGTTCTATTTTGTTTCTTGCAATCCATATACAATATACAGCATGGACAAGCTCCGTGGAGCTCGGAATACTTGGTACTTGGGGCAACTTCACAAGTGAGCTATCGCTGGTCGGATGAGGGAAGATTGATGGATTCTATTGCGGGGCAAAGGAAGGAAAGGATCAACTGGGATATGGGTTTTTCTATGTTGGAATAGGTCTGGTATGATGAATGAGGTTTTTCACGTGCGTTTCCACAGCAAACGGTGACTACTAGCCCATCATGTCCGACAATGATACTTTGTAATCTCGAGTCCGTCTCATGGAAACCTCGAACCCCCTTCGCCATGGTTCGGAGCGGCCCAGTTGGTGGAGTCAATCCGACTTGGTGCTGCATGATTGGGCGGTCCTGTTCCTGGTTCCTGCGAGCGGGCCGTTGCGTGGGAAGAGGCGCTGGGGGCACTGGAGGGTGGTTGCCCGGTCGGCCAGACGCAGGGTGTGGACGGGCCATCTTAAGAGGCGGCCAATGTCAATAACAGACGGGGTGCCCACTGTCCACTGCGTCGCTGCCCCTTTCTTCCCCGCCTCTTGCCCGTCTTGTCTTGTTTGTCTTGCGTCTGCACAACTTTGAAACGAGCGCATTCATTGTCTTGCGCTGCGTTATTTTTTGGTGCATTTTTTCTTTTAGAAGGGTACGATTGGCGCTGGCTTTTGTCTGGGCGCTTCGTTGTCAATTCGGTTGCTGGGTGGGTGCTGGCTGACCAGGGAAAGTAAACAAAACATTCCTGGCTCTCGCGCCCAGTCGCCGCAACCGCAACGGCAACCCAACCGCAACCGCCATTTTGACAACCAACAAGCCACCGACCGACCTCATCGTCGCGCCACCGCCGGCAGCACGGCGCGCAAATCTGGCAGACTGCGGAATTGCAAACTGCAATCGCAACACAACCCAAATCAAGATACACAAAACAACAAAAAGGAAACAAACCACGACATCATCGTTTACATGCCATCCACCGAATCAACCACCACCACCAAGATCAGCCACTCACCATGGCCTCCTCACCAGCCTCAACCTCCTTCCGCACCCGCCTCCAACAACAACAACAACAACAGCAACAACAACAACTCAATCCTCACCACCACCCCACAAAACACACCTCCCTCCCCCCCCTCCAAATCCAAACCCACAACATCCCCCCTCTAGAAGACACCCCCACCACCAGCGCCAGCCCATGGCCCACCCACCACCGCCACAGCGCCAGCCTCACAACCAGCGCCATGACCCTCAGCGCGGGCGCCGTCTCGCCCTCCTCCGACCGCCTGCGCCTGCGCCACGCCCAGCACCGCCAGTCCCTGCTGGGCCAGCACCCCGCTAGTGCGCACCCTTCCAGTGCGAGTGCGAGTGCCGGTGGGAGTGGGGGTGGGCATGCGTATTCGTACTCGGCGGGGAGCGCGGTGGGTGGTGGTGGTGGTGGTGGTGGTGGTGCGCGCCCGCCGCTGTCGCCGAGGGGGTATTCGGCGGCGGTGGCGACCGGGCAGAGTCGCTTTGTGGAGGGGTCCCAGTGAATGATCGGGTGTCGGCGGCGCCGCCGAGGGGGTTTTTGGATACGGAGGGGGAGTGGGAGGGGTATGAAGAAGGGTAGGCGGATGCAGAAGGCGTTGGAGATGGGTGTGTAAGTGCAAATGGGAGTGAGGGAAATGGGAGGGGGGAGGGGGAGGGGAGCAGAATGGATGGCGCTGTGAGGACGGTGGCGGGGGTGATGAGGGTGGAGAAGCCTTCGTTGAGGCTCGTTGATAGTGGTGGGAGTGGTGAGGGGGGGGATTGGGAGGATGAAGATGCTGCTGGGTTTGAGTGGGGGTATAGGAGCCGCGGTGTCGATGGGCATCGTGCAAGGGGTGGGGGATTTGCTACGGCTGGGAGGGGCGGCGGCGGCGTGGGGACTTCCTCGAGCAGATATGCTCTGCGTAGACCGAGGAGTACCGCCGGCTGGGTACGCTCGTCGGCTGCTTCTATTGCTGCGCCTACTACTTCTAGTGGTGCGAATGGCCAGCCGCAACAAAGGACCGGGGTGGTCAAGAAGACGAGCTTCCTCGCTCCTCTGTGGGATGGGGTTCGCGAGAAGCTGAACCTGAGCAAGTCGAAATCGTCGGGAAGTATCGGGAGGGTTGTTAACTCGGTTGTTGGCGGCGGTGGTGCGGACAAGAAGATCGACCGCGAGAAGGAAAAGGCCCGGCTTATGGGCATCGAGGAGAAGGAGAAGGTCGCTTCACCACCGCCGCCGCCTGGGCCAGCGTACCCCAGCCGGGAGGAGGTTATGGAGAGCTACAAGAACCTCGTCGCGTCGGGCTTCTTTGAGGCGCATGCCATCCGGGGCGGAAGACACCCCTTACGGTCCGGCGGCGCTGCGGGCAAAGCCTTTGCTGAGCACATGGTTATCCCGGAAACATCGCCAGCGCCGAGCCGGAAATCCTTCTCGGAACACATGGCCGAGGCTGAAGCTGCCGCCTCGTCGCCGGCCAGGTCCTTCGCCGACCACATGGCCGCGCAACAACCGCCGGCCCCACCCCTCTCGTCGCCAATACGGAAAAGCATGGCCCCTCCTGCACCTCCTCCCAGGGGCTCGTCCCAAAAAAAGTCTGACCTCCTATCCTCTCCACAGCGCGGTACCAAGCGGGGCGCGTCCATGGACCTTGCCACCGACGCCGAGGTGGTTACCCGTAAGCTCGTCAAGAAGCTGCGCCACTCAGCCTCGCGTCTATCGGTGGAGTTGACGGGTGTTAGAGACAACTACTACTCCAACTATGGCACGCTCAAGGCCCGCCCGTCCACCTCCTGCGGTGCCCCCGGCCCGCTCTCCCCCACATCCTCCGTCTTCAGCGGCATCACCTCCCCGCCGTCGACCAGGGCCTCCATGGACGGCATCAGGTCGCCCAGGTACGGCAAACTCACCAAACCCAAAGACGGCCGCCGCCGCCGCATCCTAGGCCTCAGCCGCCGGAACCGCTCCCCAGTACGAGCGTCAGCGCCAGTGACCAGCGCCCCTGCCGCGGCGGACCCGGACGCCATGGTGATCGACGAGCCGGAGCAGGCCACCGCCACACAGGCTCAGCCCGCTGCCGTTGCCGCCATCGCCACCATGGCTAGTCCCAAACCTCACAGAAACATCACCCCGCCGCCCGCCTCCTTCCGCACCAATCACCCACGCAGTCTGCGCAGCAGCGACACCTCGAGCAGCGCCGTATCCCCGCAGCACGAGCCGCTGAGCGTGGTGCCCGACCCGAACCAGGGCATCCCCTTTGTGCCGCGCATCCCGCGTGAGTTTTGCGATGCCATGACCGCCTTGGTGCCGCCGGCTGCGGCTGCGGCTGCGGCGGCGCGCGGTGCGGTGGTGGTGGTCGCGGGCGAGGGGAAGGAGAAGAAGGGGGAGGAGACAGGGGAGGACGGGAAGGGGAAGCCGATCAACCGCGACTCGGGGCTTGGTGAGGATGTTGAGAATATCCCGGATTGGGGGTAATCTTGGTTAGCCTCCTCACACGCCCCGGTTGGTTGGTCGGCTGCCTGGAGTCCTTCCGTCCGTTTTTTTTTCCCCTCTCTTTTCCTCTCTCCCTCTCTCGGCATCGGGCAACATTTACGAGCCGACAAAGTTGTCTTTTCCACGGCCAGCCCGGTATCACTGGACGGTGTGGCACGGCGGCGGCGGTGTTCTGTGTTTATTATATTCTCCTTTGTCATATTTTCCTTTTTTCTCTCACACAACATAACCAACCTACCTACCTACCGGCCGGGCCAGGGACAGACAAACGGATGGACTACGAGCACTTCCATCGATCGGATCTCCTCAGCAGCCCAACTTTTTGTTTTCCCTTCTAGGCCCGGTTTGATGACAGAACCCTTTTTGACGACTTGACGACGACGTTCCGGAACGAGGGCGCTTCTTATTTTTCACGGAGATGGGAAAATACATTACGGGGTGCAGGGCTTATGTTATGAAGCACAGTACAAAGTTATGGGACTGGGCTGTATGTACAAGTTACTGTTTCTGGATGCACGACCTGTTTTCGGGGGCCTTGTCGGCCTTGTTTTTTTATGGTGCTGGAGCGCCCCTCTGGAAGGGCTTCCCTGGGATAAGGGGGCTCTTGGCCGTGTTGGGGCTGCAGACAGACAGATTGGTGTTTGAGGAGGGTGTTGTTGCTGCTTGGGGGCGAGAGTGGCTTGTGGTTGTTATTATATATATGTTACCAAACAGTGGTGGCGAGAATAGCTGTCAATGATGATTATGACCTGTTTATAACAACATCTTGGGGACCAGAGCGAGGACATGTTTCCGAGTGTGATGCGAACGGGAGTCGGTTGTTGAATGCCCTACATACCACCAACCGTGGTTGGGTGCCAGAAGTCATGGTAGCAGTGCGTCCTTCGAAACATAGCTAGGGGAGCATTATTCCAAGAAGAAGAAAGCAACTTCTATGATATCACATATCTAAGCTGGGATGCGGAAAAGAAAATAACAAAAGAAAATACAAATAAATCAAAAAGCTCACTTGCCGACCCCATCCGCCGGTCGGATGAGGGCTGCAGGCTACGAAAAACCCCGTTGGGTTTTTTCTTCGCGAGGGGGGAGTCGAACCCACGGCCTCCTTCGGTTGGCGTTCCATCCGGGCCCCCCCAAATGCCGTTGAGTCAACCGGTGTTGGTTCGAATTAGGGGGGTCGGTGACAGTGTGGGATGCGAAACCCGTATGTATACCGTGGGCTGCTGGTTATGGGGTACTAGGAAGGAGCGCGGTCGGGGAGGGTTGGGATGAAACTGGAATTCATGAAGTCTTGTTTGATTCGTCGTCAAGTCATTGATTACATTACCTACCCAGCGCATCTCTATGTATGATATTGCCCCGGACCATCACATGCCCCAATGCTCCCCCTTTAACCCAATCTAGTCTATGTATGCATGCATGCTACCGCGAGCGCGGCTGCCGAACAGCCGCCTCAACGCATCTCCCAAACCCCAATAAAGAAGAGGGGAGATGGAACCTTTCGTATCACAACACCTGTATGTACGTCACCTCACCATGCGGCTGGCTCATGCTCCCGCCCACCGCAAGACGAATTCGTAAACGCTCATGGTGACGATGGAGGCCGGGATGGAGCGCATCAGGTGCGGCGTCAAGCCGCCGTACAGCGCCGACCAACCTTCCTCGGCCCCGATCGAGCGCACGCAATGGACGAGGCCGGCGTACCGGGGCGCGCCGTTCTCCATGGGCTGTCGTAACCGGGTCGTCAGGACCTAAGTGACGGGACAGCGCTGGTTAGTTGCGAGTATATGGTGGGATTTAGACGGGGTGGGAGATGGGAGTCAGGGTACCTCGTAGGGATATGTGGCCAGGCTGGCGACCAGTTTGGCTGCCCCCGCGGCGCCGCTGCTGCTGAGCCAGTGCTTGACTTCACCCCATATCGTGGCATCCTGTGTCCCAGCCCCGCCCAGCGCTTCGTGGGAGAGCGACTTGAGCTTCTCGTAGGTAACGAGGTGCAGCACCGTCTCCGCCGTGCCCAAATAACTCGCACAGAGGCCCTTGTACAGCCCGCGGACGCCCTCCTGCCGCAGGACCTGCCGCACGCAGTCCAGGCTGTTATTGTACCTTCTCGATGCTGCGCCGCCGGCCGCTTGTGCCCGTGATGCGTCGAGCTGCAGCCTTGTCTTGATGAGCCAGATGGGGTTGGTGAGGGTGTTGGTTGTGATGCCCGCGGCGACGGCGGCCTGGGCGTGGACTATGGCGGCATCCTCTTGGCGGTTCAGCAGACGCGCCCCGAGCGTCTTGCAGTTCCCGTACACGTAGAACTTGATCGCGGTCGCGGAGACGACTCCCGAGAGACTTGGGCCGAGGCCACGGAAGAAGGCGCGCCAGCCTTCGGTGCGGTGTATGGAGCCGAAGATTTGGGCGGTTTCTCGGATGTGCCGTAATGGTGCGCCGATGAGGCCGGTAGCGGCGGGTGTTGCTTGGGGATGGAATGGGTGCGCCCCTCCCCCCGCGTGTAGCCGGTAAAGGTCGGATTGGAGCCTCGTTTTCAAGACGTCAAGCGGAGATGTTATTATCGAAGTGACCAAGCCTCCGCTCCTATAGAAAGGTCCTGGTGGATCAGATGATGCATGACTCGCTTGGGAGGGGGGAGGGGGCGTTGGGTGCTGAAGAGAGAGGGGTTTGGGCAGGGACGACTCACGCTCCAGCAATCAAGTGCACCAGAGGTTGTACGGTTTTCTGTTGTGCCGATTCTCGTCTAGGGGTGTTTGGCGACACCGCCTTGACTCTAGATTGTGCCGTAACGTCCATTTTCCATTTTGCCGACTTGAGGTTTTGGGGGGAGTAGGTTGAAGTTGAATCTCAGCAGCTCAGAGTTTCTGTGGTGCTTTTACTGGGATGGGCCGAGAACGCAGGCGGTTGTTTTCTGAGCATTTGAACTTATGAATAAATCGGTCGACAGTAATTCAACTTTAGCATTCTTAAAAATAAAATAACATACTAATTATACCAATTTGCCAGGCCTACTCAGGCCCAAGCTTCTTACACTAAGAGCGATGGCACCTGGCATCCATTGCGCCAAAGATACACTTTGAGCACTTGTTGCTCTGTTTATCCCTGCCGCAATCGCTCAACATGCAGGCATGTCACCATCGCAGATCCTCGTCGGCTCCCCTTGCCGATTGCGTAGCTCACTCAGCTTGGCGTTTCCTGGCTCGGTTCCACTAGCTATATTTATTTTTACAACCACCCCGCAAGTCCATGATATCGTTGAATCTAGGTCAACCTACACAGTAGATGCCAAAGCATCACTACCATATCATGACCTCTATCTACGTAGCAAACATGGAAGCCATCCTTACATCAAATACCCATAACCTTCAAGCATCTGCCTCCGAACGCGTGCCCGGCCCCCCGCGGCTACGAAGTCATGCCTAGTAGGATAGTCCACCTTGTTCCTCACGCACCTCCTCCTCCTCGCGTCGCCGGCGTCTGGGCCCAGTTCTTTCCGTTCCCACAAGTCGCGGTAAATCCCAGTTGTGTAGATCGGCTCCTCCGGATCTACACGAACGCGGTTGCTGTCGCCACCTAGAATGGGAAACGGGCTTTCCGACGGGGGTTCGTCGGCCAGGATAAAGTCGAGGAAGGCCTGCCGTTGCTCGGGCAGCAGCTGATAGATGCGATAGGTGTATTTGTACCGGTCCGAGTGGAAGTAGATGGCGCCTGGGTCGGCATCCGGGGTGATTGCTGGGTCCCGCCGGTCGAAGAGCACGACGCCGCCAAGGATGCGTGCTTCGGCCCAGTAGCCTACCATATCGGCGACATGCCGGGGATACTGGCCGTGATCGACGTACCACCTGTGATAGAACAGGGATGGGGGCGGTCCCTCGGGGTGCCACGTCCAGTATAAGGAATCCGACCTAGGCGGGGCCCATTCGGTGATACCGTCGTCCTTGTGCACGCTGGTGTCACGCTCGAAAAGGAGGGCGGCGATTTGGTGGACGGCAACGGCAACCAGTTCGATCAAGCACGTCTGGAACCCAATCGACCCCGGAGCACAGGCGCGGTAATCGTGGAGTAGCTATTGTTACGGTCGTCCCCGTCAGGTATGAGCCGTGGGGGTCTCAATGTCAAACGCACCTCTGAGTCAAAGGACAACATCTCCAGCCGGAAACCATCACGAAACTCGCGCGCCTTGTCCAGCATACCCGGGCACAACTGGTCATGGGCGTGGTCGATCGGGTGGGCGCCATAAGGCTCGATTATAGCTTCGTAAGCGACATCGCCAGTAGGAAGGCCGTCGATGATCTGTGCGTAAGGTGACTTCTGCAAGCTCTGTGGAGAGGATCCTGTCGATGGCACGGACGAGAAGCTGGCGGTGCTCCCCGTCAAAGTCCGCAGTGGGGAGCTGCATGGTTGCTACGTCCTCGATCATTCTGTCAACGGGCAGGTCGGGTGGCGAGGAAAAGGAGGAGAGTGAGGAATAAGAAGAGGGGGGGCGGAAGAGGAAGGGGGAGAAGAGGAGAGAGAGGGGAGACGGTCGACCAGGAGCGG